TAGGAGTAGCTACTCGCTTCTGCACGCCCTTGAATGATTTTTTGTATGGGAATTTAGAAGTTATTTATTGGGTTCCAGCACGTGCAAACTAAAGGTTACAAATGAGTCCCTCTAATACATGTGAAATAATGTAGCCGAGACCGATGTTGTTTTACTAATTTTCAGATTAGCCAAATGGTTTCTCATACGTGATTTTCACACGACAAGAACTACGTAAAAAGGAAGGTAATCTAGATGGTGAATAGAAGGGGAGAATGTGGAGATAAACATGGGGTTGTTACTACGTTGACTCTAGAGATAACTTCCAATAAATAGCTAAAACGATGTGAAGTTTGTGACGAAAAATCAATCTCTTTGGTATAAATCCAGTACCACATTGCCAACACGATAGAAAGAACCTATGTATATATTTGTTCACCAACCTCCATTAGTATAAGGACTTTTCGAAACGAACTCAAAAGTAAAACCGTATGGACTGACCTTAAGCAAACAATATCATGTCAATAAATTAGTCGATTTCGACAAGGGATATAAGAGACTGGTTTCATAGTTCGGATTTTGGGCTTTATACTTTCAGTTTGCTGCACCCTCATTTTGTGAGTTCAAGATTCGAGATTTATGCATCTGTCCCCACTACAAGAAAAATATCTTTTAATCATGGGAAATTCCGTGCTTAAAAGCATGTTTCCCGTGATTAATAATTTCAGTCACGGGAATTTTACCGTAATATAAAACTCTGTGTCTAATTGTATAACGTGACTAGTTAGAGTACCATGACTAGTTATTACTATTCACGGGAAACATGCTTAATGATAAATTTTTGAGCACACATCCAAGAAAAAATCATATTTATAGACGGGATGTATTTCTTTTAAGATGGTATTAAAACCGTGACTTAATCATTTCCCATGACTAAATATCTATTACTCGTCACGGTATTTGGATGGTTCTCCTGTGATTAAATACTAATCATTGGTAATTATATTTCCCGAACTAATTACAAACTACTATCACAAATCTATAATAATAATGCATTATTAACATACAATTGAAAAGAACAAATGAAATTCTAATATTATTGGCAATATAACTTGTTCATGTATGATTACATATAGGTGAAAAGACGAATATTCTTATAGGATACAACTCCATCCAAACAAACCATTTCAAACACCTGCAACGAAGAACACATATTAATATACTTCTATTGTTGTTCCCGCCACTACATCTCGTGGCTGTACTACTTCTGTTGTTGCCGCTCGCCCATCCCAAGATGCAAGCAATAGGCTAAAATGCAGGGTAACCACATTCAGATGGAGCACTAGAACTCTTACATGCATTTGCCAACGTAAAGCCACTGACTTTGTGTTCTCCTGTGTTCAGAAAGAAGTTAAAATAGAGCTTAAAGTCAAATAACAACTCAGCTCAACTAAAAGTTCACTCAACACATAAACTTTCCCTCAATCTTTTTCTTTATTGACAATGTACCCCTGAATCTATACCTCATTAAATTAGTTCATGAACTTCATTTAGCACCAAGGTTGTCAAGCTGAACCTGGATCACATTAAGGGTTAGTTAGGACACATTGGGCACTCAAAGTTCGATTATAACGCATTGATATACCTCTTCTACTGTTGCTGCACTACTTCTACTGCTACAGGTTGTACTGCTGTTGTTGCGCTACTTCTCTTTGCTACTTTCTTTTCTACTTCTACAGAGTGCTACATGACACCTTTGCTAATTCCTAGTAAGTAGAGGATAATAGAATTTACAAAACAAGCACCATTGCAGATGAAGAAGCTGAAGAATCTCACACTAAAACCACACTAGTAGTATAACAGAACTACAAACAGTCCAGAGAGTGAAACTTGGAAAATTACAGAACTCACAAGAAACAAAAAAGCAATGATCATTACCTTCTCCTTATGTATGCAAACACAACCACAAGGTCATTTTTAAGCAGAGCTCTGCAGAGGAGAAGGGAAACAAATAGTTAGTCAATTCAACACTCTGTTTGATTCACTCGAGACAAAGCTGCAAGAAATGGGCAGAAACAAATATTATGCCCAATAGCATAGCTACCGTCATCTCTGGAGAGCAAAGAAAGACAACCTTATTTCCTGACATCATTACACTAAAATCTAGGAACAATCAAATGATAGCAGAAACATTCATGAACAAAGGGGTACCATTGGCGTCAGGAAAGGAAGACCCCTTAGATAGATCTGAAACAATATTATATATATTATACAGAGGTAGAAAACTTTGATTCGCGCTATTGCTCAAAACCCCCCAATTGATACGAAACAGAACCCTAATTTTCCAAGTTAGGGATTCAACAGTCAATCAAACATAAAAGCCCAATTGGAATATTGTAAGCTTTTAAAATCATTGTAAGGGATTAAATGCATGTTCAATTGGCGTATCCCCGCAATTTGGTCAATTACAAACCCTTAGTTCACCACAAAGCCAAATTCTCAACCCCACATCCGCAATTAACCGAATGAAATCGAGATGCCAATCCCATCTACATAAAGAGGAAAAGGAGTGAAAATAAACCTTCAGAGCCCACCGAGAGGAAGGGGCCGGCGAACATGGAAGAGGCAATGTGAGTAAAGAAAGATGGTCGGATCTGCTTAAGCAAAGGTCTTAGGCGGACAAATCTGATTCTGTCGATGGGAGTCTAGAAAGCAGTGACAGATCAACTGCAGTCCTTCCTTTGCTGGTGGGCCTCAAAGAGGAAATAACGCTTTGTTCCGGCCAGTAGCGCGCTTTTGCTTCGGAGAAAGCTTGGAGGGTGGGGTAGGTGATGCAGCTGCAGAGGATCGGAGATGGAAGACTGTCCTCCTCGCAGTGGAAAGACTCCGCATCTGGACTAGGTTCACTAACAAATGGAAGAAGCTCGATGAAAACCCAACGCTGGCGCGACTCATTTCCTCTTTCTCACTCGTCTAATGTTTTCTCTCGGGTTAATTGCACGATTGGTCACTGTGATTACAAAAAACGTTCATGTTTGGTCACTCGAAATATTTAAATTCATTAATGGTCACTAAAATTAGTAAAACCGTCCAAGTTTGGTCACTCTCCGTTAGTCTTCATCAGTCTCCGTTAACCAAGACCGTTATGTGCTGAAAAGGCAGACAGAATCGCCTAGTCAGTCTAATTTAACCCAAAAATAGTAAAATCCGACCCGCCATGTCATTTTTTTCCATCCCAACCCAACCAAATCCTTGAACCAAACCGATCCACCCATCCATGAACCAACCACTCAAACAAAATAAGGGTATATCCCTGTTTCCTTTACAGATCTGAACTCTAGTTCTTCATTTTTCTTGCATTCCCTTCGACAACCAGGTCTGAATGGTGCTTGAATCAGTCGCATTTCCTCAAGTTGGACAGAACCGACCAGCCAAGCGTCTAGAATATCATAATCAAAGATGTAGTTGATCCGACGACACACCGGAGGTTGGAGGAGGCGAAGAGGTCGAGGCGGGAGTAAGGGGACGCGACGGAGAAGGGCGGTGCGGGGATGTCGGTGAATTCCTGTATCCTTGGAGCCCGGGCTAAACACCACTTCTCTATTTCTATTCACCATCACTGACAGCCTCTCTACCTTTGTATATCCACCCAAATACCCAATTAATCAAATTTCTTGTTTCTCCTAGGTGGAATAGATGAAAACCAGAGGTAATTTTTGGGGTGGATGAAATCCCAAGAGAGGGGTTGTGAAGGAGAGACTCATAGATGAAGGAAGAAGTCATTGTGATGAAATTGACCACCACCTCCAAAACAGGGTAACTGCCTTTCAATTTCTTCTCCCACATGTCGCTTAAGATCCTCTCCCCAGCACTATTCTTCTCCCTCCGACTCCAGCCGCCTAGCCCCTCTTCTTACCCCTCCATTATCGAAAAGAAGCAGAGGATCCAGCGAGCCATCATCTTCCTCATTCAGATCTGTTGGCCGCTTCATCTTCTCTGGCGAGCCAATCATCTACCCCAATCAGATCTGTAAAGTATAGAGTCATCGCGTTGGCCGCTTCATCTACTCATGTCTCTTGGGCTCGATTTGGTTCCAATTGAAAGAGGGGATTTTTTAGAACTGGGTTTAAAAGCAGCGGAGGAAGAAGAATAGAGATTGAGGATGCGGCAGAGCTAGAGGAAGAGGTGCAAAGATGGATTGTTGATGGCGGGTCAATAAGTTAGGTTAGGGTTTGAGTCATTGGTTGGGCTGAATTACCTGATGTGGCAGATAATATTTTTTAATTTTTGGGGTTAAATTTGGCGACTAGACTTTTCTGTTAGCCACGTCATCAAAAAGTTGACGTCGTTAACGGAGACTGACGAAGACTAACGGAGAGTGACCAAATTTGGACGGTTTTACTAATTTTAGTGACTACGAATGGATTTAAATATTTCAAGTGACCAAACTTGAACGTTTTTTGTAATCACAATGACCACCCATGCAATTAACCCGTTTTCTCTCATTGTCTCTCAATTTTTTATTGAGAACGAAGGAAGTGTGGCTGTGTGGGTTAGGCTAGGGAGGAGATATGTTTTTTCTTGATAAATGTAATTGCGGAAGCGGGAGAGCCAAAATTTCATAATTGTGGAGCCATCTTTTTCTTGGGGCAAAATTTAGAATTGTGGAGCCAAATTTTTTGGAGTCAAAATTTGGAATTGTTTTTTTTTGATATGGGTGATATAGATTAAAACGAAAAACAGAAAAAGCGCCAGTACAACTACGCATACAAGGACCCTCGCCGAGGGAAACTAGAAGAAACAAAAAACAAAAGAGCCAAAGGGCGAGGGGGGCAGAAGTCCAGCCCGACAGAAAACCAGAAAAGGAAAAGGAAAAAAGACTCAACTCCGCCAAGTCCACCGTCGGCCAGCGAAGCTCCTTCCCGATCTCTCAATCGCCCAAGGAGGAGGGACGGGAAACGGGCAGAAACGATGCCAGAGAAAACACCTGCAATAGCGGCCACCCCCATGTGATTGAACGATCATCTCGAAGCTGATGGAGGGGGGTTATGCCTGATCGGAACAACCCTTGCACGCAATTCCCTTGTCCAATTCTTCGCGACCTCAGAATCAACCTTCTTTGCTGCGATCAACCAAGCTGCTACCGCATCGCCAATTTTTAACACAAGCAACCAGTCGGGACAAGACTCTCCCTTGAAAACTCTGGCGTTTCGCTCCAGCCAAACAGTCCAACAGAAAGCATGAAGGGCGACAATCGAACACCAGTGCGTCGGACTCGCTGGCTTCGCGGTGGGCCACCGTGAAATTCTTTCTGTAATCCCGAGCGTTTCGTCCATGGAATCTTCGATCTTGATGAAGTGTTTCAACCTGTTCCAAACTTGTCTTGAAAACTCACAAAAGACAAACATGTGATTGGCAGATTCCTCTTGTTTCTTGCATAAACTGCATCTGTTGGGAAGATGGTACCCTCTTTTCTTGAGATTATCCAACGTTAGGAGTCTATTATGATATACCAGCCATAAAAATATACAAATCTTTGATGGTATTAGATTCTGCCACACCATCTTAGCCGGAAAGTGGTCGGAACTTGTGGAGCGAACTGCAGCAAGATGCTTGGTGGCAGAACTGACACTGAATCTTCCTGAAGATACCGCCGACCAATTCGGTCTTTCAGGACCTGCATTAAAATTCACAGAAGTAATTGCCTCAAGTTGGTTAAAAAACCTCTCTCTCTCTCTCTCAGCCCCACCCCGAAGATTATAAATCAGTGGAATATCCCACCGAAGGTTTCCCTCAGCAAAAGTAAGATAATCTGCAATGGTGGAGGACGGGGACTCTGCAGCAGCGAAGACTCTCGGATATTTCTCAGCTAAGCACGAACCAACAATCCATGTGTCGAACCAGAACGACGTTCTATTACCACTCCCTTGATCAATAAAGGCTATCTTCCAAAACTCATCTTTTAACTTCATGATATTAGCCCATGGGCTGCCCCCGCTTCTGCCTTGAATGGTTCCAGAAAACCACTCTGAAGATGGATTGGGAAATTTGATGTTGATAATGTTCCTCCACCAAGATCCCCTTTCTGTAGCAAATTTCCAATGCCATTTGAGTAATAGTGCTTTGTTGTGAACCTCTAAATCTCTGATGCCCAACCCTCCTCGATCTTTAGCAGTTTTACATAACTCCCACGACGCAAGATGAAACTTCTCCTTATCCTGATTGCCCGACCAGAGAAAATCCCTCTGAACCTTCTCTAAACTTTTGATAATGTGCTTAGGGATAAGAAATAAGGAACTCACATACGTACTCTGGCTCGCAAGAACCGCGTTAATGAGTACCACCCTGCCGCCGATCGAAAGGTAATTTCCTTTCCATCCTTCCAGTTTGGATTGAGTCCTCCTAACGAGCGAGTTCCATTGCCCAACTGAAGGCGATTGGCTGCCCAGCGGAACGCCCAGATAGGTTGTAGGAAGAAAGGCCCAGTCACACCCAAACACCTCCGCCAATCTGTCCAAATTAGCGACTTCTCCGACGGGGAATAATTTTGACTTCTCGAGATTAATCTGCAGCCCGGTTATCGCTTGAAAGCAGACTAGTGCGGCTAGAATGTTTCGCACTTCATCTTCATTTGCCTCGCAGAACAGTATAGCGTCATCGGCATAGAGCAGATGTGTAACCTCTCCTCTTCGGCTGTTTTCGTCAACACAGAATCCCGAAATATGCCCTGCAGCTCTGATTTCACACAAAATGAAGGACAGGATATCCATTCCGATATTAAACAGAAACGATGACAATGAATCACCCTGCTTTACCCCTCGAGACATCCCAAAAAACCCGGTGGACTCCCCATTGATGAGTACGGACAGCTTTGATGAAGAGGTCAATCCCTTAATCCATTTCCTAAACCTGGAATGGAGCCCCAGATGAGTCAAGGCTTTGATGGAGCAAGATAGTAGCAAAAGGAAGGAAATTAAGTTCGTGGTCCTAGTCCTCATTCGAACATTGCTAGTAGAAGTGTGGACCGAGAAACAATTGTTTGGTTCTATATGGTCACTTTGTGGGTTCTTTTTATAAATCAGAATATTGGTTATTGGACTAGTATTGGTAGAATTTTGACATTCAACGGTGGATGCCCCCGTCCTTGATTTGGTGTGGTGGTCGGCATGTCGAAGCCCAAACGATCACGTATGAGCGGCCCCCAACCTCCTTCGGGTTTGGTCGTGGAACCAATGATTGCATCTCCAGAAATAGGAAGCCCGGTGAGGATCGCCACGTCTTTGAGGGTGATCGTCATTTCCCCCTCCGCAAGGTGGAATGTATGGGTTTCGGGACGCCATCGTTCCGCCATTGCCGTAAGCAGCTCGTTGTCGATCTCGATCCGCAAGAAATGGCGCAACATTCCCAAACCGGTCCTCGCTATATAGGGCTCCAACCTTGGATGCCAAGCGGGCAAGTTATTGGTCCCTTTATGAACCACGGGAACAAGAGATTCCTAAAAAAAATAGGAAAAACATCAATTAATTAGATTAAATAAAGCAAAATAAAACATTAGAAAATAATAAAATAAAGCAAGTCAGTTCATCAAATTACCGGATTGTTATCCCAAATGGCACGGGAGCGATGCATTTGCTGATCGGTTAATAGACTCGCATCCCTTGGGCCATAATGGATATACAATCGAGGATCGTATATCTCGGCACCCATCTATAAAAAAGTAATATAATCAGAGATTGTTTTGATAAAAAATAAATCAAATTGTTTCGATTAAAAAAAATCACAAACCAAAAACCTACACGAAGAGCCTCTTCGTCCATTATTGGCGGAAGCCGGACAGAGGTTCGACGGGTTTAGCTTTGTAAGGGACGGGAACTTAGCGGGACGGGGGCTTTAGGGTCAAACTCTAGTAATTCTTTCTGATGTGGAAGATCGGACTTAGCCGCAACCACAGAGCATACTTAGAACGAGACTAGAGCGGATAAATTGAGGGAGAAAGAAGGTAAATGTTTGTGGGGAGAGTTGAAAGTGAAAGGGGGAGGGGGTATTTATAGTTTGGGGGAAGGGGGGAGGAGATGCTGCGCAGTTAATTCACCATGCATTCACCGCGTTTGATGAACGCGGTGAACTCACCGTCTTCACCAAACGCGGTGAATGCATGGTGACGTGGCGTGCTGCGAGGCGTCGGATCGTGGGAAGAAAACCACGATCCGCGTCTCACCGCATCTAACGGCCACGGTGAAAGCACTAATGGCGCGGATTGCTGACGTAAACAAACACGGGTTATTCACCGTGTTTGTCTAACGCGGTGAATACCCCGTGCTGTCCACGTCAGCACTTCACCGCGTCCAATAAAAACGGTGAGTGCTTCACCGTTTTAAATTAAAACGGTGAAGTTATCACCGTGTTTAATTAAAACGGTGAGTACTTCACCGTTTTAGCCAAACACGGTGAACCCTTCACCGTTTTTATTTAAAACGGTGAAGCATTCACCGTGTTTGGCAAACGCGGTGATGACCTTCACCGTTTTAGACAAAAACGGTGAAGCTCAAACATGTGTAGTTTTGGAATTTTTTTTATAACTACTGTATTTTCGGAATTTTTTTTAAAAACTAGTGTACTTTGGGATTTTTTCCGGGTTTGCGTACTATATCAGTGTAAGTTCGGCAGTAGTCCGATTTAGCGAATAGTACAACTAAAGATTTATTGATACCAACGTCGTTCTCTCGCTTGCTAGCTACAAGGAAATACTTGCATCATGGGCAACGCTTCATCATATATTATATCGGTTAAGCTAGCGTATGCAAGGCGTACACTAATCTTATCGAATGCTATTCGTGGTTATTGTTGGTTTATAATTATATTATTATAATTAGCCGATTTCAAATTGTATTAGTATTTGAAATGTAGATTATTGTTGGTTTATAATTATATTATATTTTATACACCATCTTAGGGTTTATAGTTTAGATTTAGATAATTCGGATCTAGGGTTCACTCATTAAGGGTTAGGTTATAGTATCATGCCCAAAAATCATGCTAATTCGAGTTCTAGATAGCGTTTTCATACTCAGGGTATGCGGTACCCCGAATTTCACCAAGGGTACCGTAGCAGGCACCCACCATATGGGGAGTTTACGGTACCCAGAGTGAAATCCGGGTATACGTAGGGTTTGTTGATATCCGAAGAGGACAAGGAGAGTCGGCCATATATATTGTTCTTTGTACTGTTGTTCAACTTCAAGCAATAACTATCAATAGCGAGGAGGGTCTTTAGGATCTCCAGTGGATTAGTCCTGAACCTTCAGGGATATCACGTAAAATCGAGTTTTTGTCGTTCATATTTCGTTTCTTAACATGGTATAAGAGTTTGGTTCTCCATAACCGCCCGAAGCACATAGAGGTCCACATTTATTATATTCGAGACTTGGTCCGTGATGGTGTTATTCAGCTTCGTCACATCTCACGAAGTCTTTTGACCACGAGTCGTCATTGGTTTCTCTTTAGGAAATTGATGCTTAAGGACCAGCATCAATTTGGGGGAGGCAAAATTGTTGTCTCTTCTTCATGTACTTCCACTGACAGAAAATGCAATCATCCACACAAAATTGCACATTATACCCTTGTTTCTCTCCATAAAATCTACGCTCCCATTATGCAAATCCGGTTATCGTAGTTCTTTGTTTTGCAGTGATAAAGCTCAAAGCTTGCACTACAAAAAAGGCAGTCATTACCGACGACACGATTTTCGTCATAATTGATAAAATTTCGTCAGAAAATATCTTTTACGACGACATTTCGTCGTCAAACGTTGTCAGAAATTATCGCGTCGCTAATAATATTATTATTGACTAGTCGTCAAATTTACAATATTATTGACGACATGAATACTTTAGTAATAAAATAAATGACGTTACAAAAGAAATCACTCATGACGGATGAATTTGACGAAGTTTTTTTTTTTTTTTTGACGAAAGCTTAATTTATTTTTGACGCATTATGTTTGTTGGTAAACCATTTTTCTGACGAGACGTCATAAATACTAATTATACTAACGTCCATAATTCATCGAAAATAACTATTTGTGACCAAAAATTGAGGCCGAACGTTTTTTTGATACGGTATACATACATTTCTGATGATGTGTATGCGTCACTAATATATTATTACCGACGTTTAGTCAAAAATATAAATTTTACTGTTACTGACAAATTGTCGTTAAAACTATGTTTTTTATAACGTGTCATCTGAAGAATTATTATTTCCGAGGACAACTATTCATCGTAAATAAAATCTTTTCCAACGTGTCGTTGGATAAATTTTTATTTATGATGACAACTATTCATCATAAAATTAATCTTTTCCGACGTATCATGGGATAAATTTTTATTTACGATGACACCTATTCATCATCAAAAAAATCTTTTCCCACTTGTCATTGGTTATATTTATATATTACTGAGGACATATGTTTATCGTCGGGAAAAATCTTTTCCAATGTGTCATTGGAAAAAATATATTTAAAGAGGACAGCTAATTATCACCAAAAATTATCTTTGGCAGCACACATTTATGTGTCGCTATTGGGCTATAGAGGCACATAAATCTCTTACTGTGGGACATACGTTTAGCCACTAAATGCCAATTTTCTCGTAGTGTTTCGAGTCTTATTTCTTGGGCGTTTAGCTAGGTTAGAATCATTCTGATGTGGTATTCAAAAGATAAATTTCTAGATGTGTTTAGGGTCATATTCCAGAGGGTACGTCTTTCAATAGTAACTACTTAAACCTAACCAATTGTATTCGATGTATGCAATGCAAGAAATTAAACCTAGGTGTGTTGAGGTGCCTCCTACTCGTATATTACTTATGCAAGAAACAAAACAAGAATGCAAGAAATAAAGTAATATTTAAATAGCTCCTTTTAGATGGTAATGCATATACCTTCCTCCAAGCCCTATACCTTCCTCCAAGCCCACTCTCTACTTGTGAATGTGCCTCTTGCAATAGAGATTTGAGTAGCTAATGTGTGCTTTCGCTTCATGCCATCACATGATCAATAAAGAACAAAGAAGTTAGGATAAAATATCCCATGATGTTGTGCACTCTTCTACGAATGCCATTCGTGGTTATTGTTGGTTTATAATTATATTATTACAATTAGCCGATTTCAAATTGTATTAGTATATGTAATGTAGATTATTGTTGGTTTATAATTATATTATATTTTATGCACCATCTTAGGGTTTATAGTTTAGATTTAGATAATTCGGACCTAGGGTTCACTCATTAAGGGTTAGGTTATAGTATCATGCCCAAAAATCATGCTAATTTGAGTTGTAGATAGCGTTTTCATACTCAGGGTATGCGGTACCCCGAATTTCAACAAGGTTACCGTAGCAGGCACCCACCATATGGGGAGTTTACGGTACCCAGAGTGAAATCCGGGTATACGTAGGGTTTGTTGATATCCGAAGGGGACGAGGAGAGTCGGCCATATATATTGTTCTTTGTACTGTTGTTCAGCTTCAAGCAATAACTATCAATAGCGAGGAGGGTCTTTAGGATCTCCAGTGGATTAGTCCTGAACCTTCAGGGATATCACGTAAAATCGAGTTTTTGTCGTTCATATTTCGTTTCTTAACATGGTATAAGAGTTTGGTTCTCTATAACCGCCCGAATTCATTATATTCGAGACTTGGTCCGTGATGGTCATGCATATACCTTCCTCCAAGCCCTATACCTTCCTCCAAGCCCACTCTCTACTTGTGAATGCGCCTCTTGCAATAGAGATTTGGGTAGCTAATGTGTGCTTTCGCTTCATGCCATCACATGATCAATGAAGAACAAAGAAGTTAGGATAAAATATCCCATGATGTTGTGCACTCTTCTACGGTCTTCTACGTCACTTCTTTGAGTGTCATGACTTCTCGATCATGGTGGCCTTTTCTTGCTGCTCTTGGCAAGTCGAGGATTAGATTAGATATATTTGTGTGTCTGGT